CGTTCGCATTTCAGTCAGGACCGCTTTAGCGAAAGAAAATTATTATTTCCATTTGCAGTAATTTATATTTGGTGGTTCTGTGCTGTTCTAGTAGTCTCTACCCACCCTTTAAAGTGCATCAATGGAAAAAAAGCCTGAAGCAGGAAAACCAGCAGTACAGCTCTCTAGGTTACAGAGGAGAGGAGGCATTAATGCCAACCTATATACACAGATACACAGGATGAAAAGAAAGAGTTGGTATGAAGGTGGGCTGCAAAGCTGCTTGCAGAGAAAGCAGTGAAGACAGACTAAAGTAGAGCATTGCGATTGCGGGGCGATCGTGGCTCAAGAGTTGGAAGTTCGCCTTGTAATCGGAAGGTTGCCGGTTTGACCCCTGGCTTGGACAGTCTCGGTCGTTGTGTCCTTGGGCAAGACACTTCATCCGTTGCCTACTGGTGGTGGTCAGAGGGCCCGGTGGCGCCAGCGTCTGGCAGCCTCGCCTCTGTCAGTGCGCCCCAGGGTGGCTGTGGCTACAATGTAGTTTGCCATCACGAATGTATGTGTGTGAATGGGTGGATGACTGGTTGTGTAAAGCGCTTTGGGGTCCTTAGGGACTAGTAAAGCACTATACAAATACAGGCCATTTACCATTTTTACCACTGCCATTTGAGTATACAGAATAGCATTAGTTATTATTAGCATTAGTAATACTATTCTACAATACCAGATGAACTATGATTGCTAGCTTAGCTTGACTTTGAGGATTGCCTCAACCTGTGCTATGCTCAATATGAGTAAAAATAATCAACATAATCATATAAATAATTATTCATAGTGTGTTATTAGGATGGCAGACTTGGTAAGTACAACAGTCTAATGAACCATATTACAAACACTTCTGTTGAACTGCATTTTTCACCATTGAGAAATGCAAGCGAGCGTGACTAGGCTATGACTATTCATATTGTAGTCCTGCCAAATATGCAGTTCTGCTCTGCCCATGAAAAGAATTGCTCTCTGCCTTTTGAACTGGACTCACAACTAACTCACTCAAGCAATGCACTGACTAAGTTGAGTTTATCCTGCATTCGCCCGGCATGTGTCTAGCTTTACATTTTGAGCGAAGCCTTGCCCTGCGGACTGAGAGCGCTGGGGGGGATTAGAAGCCAGCTTGACTACCGCTGACCTGCCTTTCCTTTACAAGGAAAGATCAGCTATCAGACTGCTACTGCTTTGTGCCCTGCTGTTTGAGGGTTGTGTCAGGGATTCCTCCTTAAGTGCACAGGGGTTCACCAAACAGTTGGGGGCAAACAGACGTGGAGGGAGGAGGCCTGAAACCTCTCACTATCCTTAGTGCTGTCACATGTTGCCCAAAAAGCCTGGATGTCATCTGTCAAAGCCCTCATCAAAGAGCACTTTCAAGCTCAGCAAGTTTCATGCGTGCTGTGACCAAATGAAGGTAGTGTTTCCATGGATACTGCCCCAATTGAGGGCTAGTACCAAGTTTTTCTAATCAGGCTTGAAACAAGCTACTGGCAGGCTTAGTGGTTTGCAGTGACAGCCATGTCATACAACACAATTTACAGAATTGCACAATTCAATACAAATCTTCTAAACATGTACAACAGGGATCTAAAACAAAACATTATATAATCGCTCAACTAACTACAAATTCAGAAGAAAAGATGCAAGTTTAAACAATAGATTCCACATGATATTGATGAAGTAGTTATGTAATAAGGTTTATATTAACAACCGTAGTGGTTAAACAACAACAGGTTAACTGAGACGTTTGCTGAAAAACTGAAACCACAGAAGAATGCAAAAACACGAGAAAGCGTTTGTATTTAAAAGGTTAAAAAGTTGAATGAAGCGCAGTTAGAGGACAAAGAAAGAGACTTAGAGGAACAAACAAGGAATACGTAAGGAGAGGATACAAAAAACTAGAATGGCAAAAAGGCAGAATTGGTGCAGAGGGCGACAAGATAGAAAGAAGGAGTGGCTCCGTCAGAGCGATTGCTTAAAAAATATGGGGCCTTATTAAAACAAACACATCCGATCATGTATGCACTGTAGAAGCAAAAATAGCTTCCCTGTGACACAAGCTGCTTAGGCAGACACAGACATGAGGAAGGTGTGGTTTCATTCTCTGGAAGGAAGCACAGCATAAGGGTTGATGGGAAGCTGTTTCAGATGTGTGTGTGAGTATGTTTGCGCATGCATGTTTATAAGGGTGGAGCTCCATGTAACAGGATCTCAACATGAAGGGAAATGCGGGCTCATTGAGACTCTCTAATGAGAGGGGGAACCTGATCAGATTCAGATGGGGTGCCCCGAGCGCACAGCCCCCCTACAGAAAGTGCCGCCCGACACCCTTTGTTACCTCCAAGTGAGCTGAGAACAGCCCATGAACCATGTAACTAGGTGGTTTCCAGGTTAATGAAAAGCTGTAACTCCGGTCCCACTGTCTCTCTCGGCTAGAGTGACGACTGCCCTCCCCTTCCCATGTCGTATCACCCCCCCCACCCCCTTCTTCACCTCCACATTCCTGCCCATGTCCATGACGGGAGTATCAGGGTCAAGGGCAATTAACTTTGCTTTGTGCGAAGTATGCTTTATTTATATCTGAGGCTTTTTATTATCCAGAGGAGTGCACAATATAAGAAAAGTCAAAACCTCTGAGTGGTATATTTTAAATTAAATTATCTGAAATTGTATGACAATTAACAGAAATGTGCATTATATTACCAAAAGGGCAATTCACACTAAATTCACTTTGCAGTTAAGAATTTTTTTTATCAAGACATAACCTCTACTGATTCATTTGCTGCACAAAAATATAAAATGCTGTCTTGTGCCCAAGAAACTGTATGTTTAACTCTCTTTTAACGATGAAAGCGGTTGTAAGTCAAACTGATGGCAGGTGGGCTCAGCAGGAGTCCCTCAGATGTAAGATAGATGTACTTGTTAGCAAAGGTGAGTAACAGGAGTCATGGCTTGACTGGTCAGTAAACACACCACAGAGAGTTAAAGTGCAGCAACAAAGGCAAAAATACACACTGTGAGTCATCTGACAAGACTTTTACTTTTGCCCATATTTAAAGCAATGTCGAATGTGCTTTAATGAAATGCTGGCTATCATTACTCAAAAGTGCTTTAATAGATATGTAGAGCTATTACATTGTCTAGCTATTTCTTTATCTACCAAATCAGTCATCTTGGACGAGTAAAAGCTGCCAAATGGTCCGTGACATTACATTTTGTTGATTCATAACAGCAGTATTTGGCTACTGGTGGAGAAGCAAACTGCTGATGTTAGTCCTAAATCTGCAGTTCGCTCCCCCCGTCCCTGTGAAAGAGGAGAAAGCCAAATCCTCATTTGCAATACAGGTAAACATCAACTCCACGGCAGGTACACATTAGGGCGGGTTTACTACAAAAGAAAGAAAAAGGGAGAAAGAAAAAAAGGAAGAAAAAAAAGCTCCTTTGATTCTGTGTTGGTGGAAAAAAGTAAATTTACACCAGTTGCTGTTCAATTTGGACCGGTGGACAATAAAGCAGGAGCCAGTGCCTAATAAGAGCCATGCCTGAGAGAGAGAGGGAGAGACACAGAGAGCGAGAGAAACCCAGTGGAGGTGTGTCTGCGTCTCGGCTCCAAGGTTCCTGCTAATAGACTTCAGCTCCCTCAGTTTCCCAATTAGCTGGTATGTAATGCTTGGTTTATGAATTCATGTGTAGATACTAAGTGTTAGAACATGTGTGAACATGTACAGTGTGAATGCATATTTACACATACATGGCATTGTATGTGTACGGCAAAGATACAAGCTGTGTGTGTAATTATCACGCCAAATAAACAGCAACTACCTGTTGTTTATAAATTCATATACTGATTATAGTGGTGATTTAAATTAATTTTTAAAAATCCCCTATTTAAGACAGAAAGGAATCAGATTACACTGACCAATTCCCAGCCAAAATCTGCCTATCAACGTCAACACATGGCGACACAAACAGAAAACAAACAGATAAACCTGTCCAGTTTTAGTGCAGCTTTTACCACTTTTTAAGGAAGAGCATTACAAAGCAAATAGTGAGTGCACTTTTAACCCTGACCCTGTGTGAGGATGGACAGGCAGCGCTCAAGACTTACCTGTAATAAACCCCAATAGCTTCCACACATGACCATAAATCACACGGTATGCCTTCAAAGTATCGAATATCGACTAATACAACACCGCTCACCCCTGGCTTTTATCCCCCGTGCTTCCTTTTCTGTGTTCTGGTGGTGGCACTGCCTTTAAAGTGCAACCATCTCACTTTTTTAAAAGGCACGCCGAGCAATTTATTTACCAAGAAACTGCAGCCGTAAATGACAGAAAAAGCTGCACAATTTACGGACAAGTAGTGAATGGGGGTAGGGGGGCCCAGAACGAAGCCAGGGGTCTTGGCTGGGCCTGTGAAAGCCTATAAAGCTTTAGTAGTAGCCCACGACCTGTTTATGGCTGGCTGAGACGCTGTGGTGTGAGGCTCCTGATCACTCTGCAGCTCGTGACTGCTGCCGCTCTTGCATAACACACAAACAGGAGATGGTAACGGAAACAAGGCATTAAAACACTGCAAACAGATTCGGTGACATGGGCTTTATTTTGCAAGTCTCAGAAAGAAAAGGTCTGGGTGTTTTTTTTTAATAAGGTAACGAGGCAAAAAAAAGAAGAGTGACTTAAAAACAGAAAACATCTAACCTTAACATTGTGTGAGGAATAAATGGGTAAATGATGCATTTCATTTTCCACAAAACGTCTGAGGCTCTTGGCATTTGTCTTGGCCTGCTTAAATGTGGATTGCAGAACTGGCTTGGCATGCTGAGCTGGGGGACCTGGTATGCTCGGAACTTCACAGCATAGATGCAAATGCCCACCAAGAAGATTCAAGGCAGATGTGGACTGAAATGGCGTCCTTGTAAGTAGCCATTTGGTAAAGGTATTGCAGGAATTTTTTATTTTGAAAATGTGGCTCACCTCGTCTTCACCACATCGAGGGGATGCATCAAGCAGATCTCTACCAGACCTAAAAAAAGTAAAAAAAAAAAAAAAAAAAAAGAACAGTCAAGATTAGTCACTTTAAAAAGAATAGGTAATTCGGTCTCTATTTTCCTTGCTTTCGTTTTTGTTCACTGCACTGATGACTGCTTACGAATGAAGATAAATGAAAAGCATTTTTTATCAGTCACTGGATGATTTCCAACGGTTTCAAGATTGTATTTCTGCAAATGCACTCCTTCTGCGTTCTGCACAGACTGTTTACCAGCATGAAACCAAAGCCTGCTCAAACATGACTGGTCAATACAACTGGACTACAAACAGAAACCAGACATTTCTGATGGTTAAGACAGCATTAAGTATGTTGAAGAAAGATTCATTGGCAGCATACGTTTGTCAGAAATGAGAGTAATTGAAAATTATGAGTTTGAGTCTCTATAGTTTCAAGTTGGCTTTCCAAATGCTCAGCAATTGCTACTTAGTCTAAACTGAGCATATTTAGGTTTGGGACAGTCAACCCATGCACACAATTTTTTTTTAGAGATTTTAGTAAAACATAACTAAATGTGAATAAAATAATAAATAATCTACAAACAGTGATAACGTGACAAACGTTTATCAGTCTATTTTTTTGTTATGACTTTTTTGTCAGTCTTCTGTTTTTGTAAATCACATCAGTGCTGTGAGCCAATCAAATCTTCCACATAGATCATGTGAACTTGTAGATGTATGCGAAATCTCTGTGACCATCAGATAGCAACACAGTGTGTGTGACAGTCACCCTGTAAACAATCTGATAAGAATCTTGTTTAACGTCTAACTGGGGAAAAACAGTGAATGTTCGTTCATGTGATATGTTTTGCTTTCATTTTAAACCCATTTAAATTGGAAAGTTCTGTAAAAATTACATTTTTTCATGTTTCTACCAAATGGTTTTGAGGTGCAACCCATGCAAGTCCAAGCAACTTTACATGAGAACCTCATCATCACTCTGATTATCACTCTGCCTTTTGGAAACAGCAGCTACTTCAGTAATTCTCAGTTTTTTATGCATTGGTCTGAATGAGAGATCCGGCAAGACTTCTTTTTCTGTCCAAAAACCCTCTGAGTGCTGAAGCCACCGACTATATCACCCGTGCAAACCCAGTACATCAGCAATATGCCAGCAGAATCAATGCAGCCGGGTGATCATTGAAAGGCTCTGAGGTTTCACACACATGCTAACTATGTGCATCTGTGTTGAAAAGCCACTGCTTTGGCACGGAGGCTCTCTGACTCAATCAGGATTTTTTTTTTTGAACTGGCGATTCTCACTGCATCCCTTTACTGGGGCTCTGAGGGCTTCCCTTGCAGATTCCACTGTGTGTGTACACAGCTGCTGTGCAATATGGGGTCTTTCTAATTTGCTCAATTAAACATATTGTCTATAAAAGCGTGTGTCTTCTGGGGTTTTTCCAGGGAAGTAATTATCAAGTGAAATACCACAGTAAAAATTACTTTGTCTACAGTTGCATCTTAATGTACGAATGGGAGAACTAAGAAGCACTGAACCAAGTTGCCAGTGGCAGAGAGTCAAACAAAATTCCATCTGTTACGGCTCAGTTGACCTGACTTTGGTTCTTAATGACACTGCGCTGGAGAGGTAAATGCAACCGTCCATTGGACAGATTGTTTTCTGTCCTCTCTATTAATAGGCCTGATGTGAAGACGAGGCACGTCAAATCTTTCAACGGGTAATCAGATTACATGATGAAACCAAACCTGCCTGTTTGCTCGATCAGCCTGTGCACTTTCTGGGAAGTGACTGAACATGCTCAAGGTGATTGTATTTTATTGTTCAGCACTTTGGTCAGCCTTGGTTGTTTTTAAATGTGCTTTATAAATAAACTTGACTTGACTTGACTAGAGGAGGAAGTGCAAAGGGGAAAAAGAGACAACTTCTTCAAACAGTGGACACTTGTGAGGAAGGCAAACAAAGATAAAGACATACAACTCTCCCCAACTCATTGTGAGCCTCTGTGTGATCTAAGTTAAAAGTAAAGCAGGAGTCGCATGTAAAATAGGTCCAACACCACGCCATAGTCAGCAGAGCAGGATTGCTCCCGCATTAAGTGTAATGGAGGGAAAATGCAAAACGTATTTTCGTGAATTGATGTGGAAATGAAATATGAGTTAGCCATTACTACTTGTATCATAACAAAAGGTGCTACTACATTTTTATGGCTAAATAAAAGCCCGTGTCTCTAGGTTGTAGAATGAGCAGAGATTAAAACAAACCCGAAATTACACTGAAAACAACAGAGCAGAAAATCTATTAGTAATCTATTATTTACATTCTTTTAAAACCATGGAATACATTTTGCATCTGTGCGTATCTAAATAGAGAAAAAGACGAAGATGCTTCTTTTGGCCGTTGACTTATTCACAAGAAGTCGACACAGCAGGCGGCTCGGCACATTTCATTTGGCAGATTTTCCCCCACATGCTGTTCCTGATGCAACCCCATAGGAGATGTGTGTCTCCTCCAAAGGGACGTGTAAACCATTACACTATGGTGTGACTATCTGTGCACATCTGAATACTTTACTAAAATGATTACTTTAGTTTTTCGGGCCTTGTGATCAACCTCAGATTACAGGAAATCTGTCATCCAGTTTCCCATACATGGATTAAATGTAACCCTAGACTAACAGAAAAATCTAATCCCTACTGAAAAACAACTTTTGATTTAGGACTAGGTTTAATCTATGTATGGGAAACTGGGCCTAAAGGATACATAATTATAACCAAACCAGTATAAGTAGATACTCTTTACCAACTGACAGGTCTGCCACAGTATGCAATTTAGGTACAGCAATTCATGAGGTGTGTTTCACTTCTCAGGGTATCATTATGTAAGTCTAAGTGCATTATGGACCACAGCGTGTCAGTTAGCAATGTATGCTGCTTTGTTCCTCCAAGATGGCAGTTGCAAAAGGATTAAGTGATGACAAGCACTAATGCAAAACTCAGCTGTGTTTGTCTGAGTATTTGTCTAACACCCTTGCAAACAGGACATCTGAAGAAGAGTTGATGGCAGATGAACTGACAGGCTGTGTGGACTTGAAGAAAAAAAATAAAGTTTGTGGCCATAATCCTAAACTGACCTCTACATGACATCTCACTCACACAGCAGTTTATTTATAAGACACTCCATAGTGATTTCCAGCAGTGCTGAAAAATCGATTCATTTGTATTAGAAATCAATTTTATATTAGCACATATAATCACACTGAAGTTTTCTATTTGTCAAAAAACCTGTAAACAGCAGCTACAGTAGTTGTATGCAACCAATTTGTGATTATTTTGATAACATATTTGCATTTTGGGAAAACTAGGTGGAATAAAAACAGAACAATGATGTGGCGTGTCCTCTCACTCAAAGTACAAAGAATACACTGCGAGAAAGGGCACAGCAATTACATAAGTGATGACAGGTCCACAAAAGATGCAAGTTGTTGCTGCAATAAATTCTGATTTATAGAGACTATTTTCAGAGAAGCAATTAATTCCAAACAATTATGTTAGACAGCTCATTTTTTTCCTGCTAATGTCCAATGGAAACACTTCATCAAACTGTCTCTGTGTAAAAAACCAAGTATGTAATTTCCTCGACATTCTCACACCGCTGTGCCCCAGTGTATCCTGCCTTTCTGTTCCAACTGCCAGTGCAAAATGCTTTTTAATCATACAGTGCGGCCATAGTGAACCCACACACTCTCGAGAGCACTTCACACTCAACAGTCTCTGATGCAGTCACCGAGCATGCTGAGGACGCACTAAAGGGATGATACTACTGAACTTTTCTTATATTTAGCCAGAGTTTGGCTGCAACTCTTTCTGCAATTGCTTCCCTCCTCCAGCTGCAAGGAGGAGCCTAATATTACAGTGACCCACCATCTGGTTGATGTTTATGGCTTTGCCATGCATCAGTGAGTTGCATATTAGAAAATTCCATTATTTAAAGGTTCTTTTATTTCTGATACACAATAGTACTGACAGGGCTTGTCATTCAGCACATTGCAGACACACATACACACGCGGAGGCGCACGCGCTAATGGCAAAGGAGTGTCTGGAGCGCAGCCATTTAGAGACACTTAAATATAGGCCGCCACACTTGTATTTCAGACACATGCATTCAAGGCTAAGATGCAGTGTGAAGGTGAACTGAGCAGTGGAAACAAAAGAGCTGGGCACAACATTAGGTGAATTTTATGCCCATCGCCAATGCAGAGTGGTGAAAAAGAGCTTTTATTTTGGCTCTCACATTCACCACATGTCTGAAAAACAACGAGGATCGGTGTTAAAAACTGCTGCATCACACCACAGTCAATCTTTTTTTTCCTACACAGTGCAGTGACTCTTTGGAGCAGAACCAACAAGTAGCTTCACTGGTAACACGGGTATTCAGACATTCCAGGTCGTCTGATAACTTGTCCAAAGAAAGAAGATCATACATCACACAGATGAGATGATTATCTTCATTGGTTTTGGCATGGGAATGCATACAGTTTGCTCCCACGCAAAAGTGAGAAAGAACAACAATAGCGCACCAGGGAATGATTGCTCAATGGGTGCAGGTGTCATCCATCTTGCCAAGACACACATTGAATGACTGTAATTCCCAGCAACCACAAGGAGAAGGTCACTGCTTGGAAGCAAGATTTTCCTTGTTTAATGGGCTAATACTTGAAAGACAAACTAGCTGGTTATTTCTCATGCTTACTTGACCCAATGAATGCTATAATCTCAAACAATGGCTTAAACACTACTTTCTTAACAATATTTATAATATATTAATTATTTAAATTTAATAATAACTTATTTTAATTAATTCTATAAAATACTGACACTTTGAAAGTTGTAAAGATGTCAAAATTATGTACACTTTGTTAGTGAAATATCATGAAGAGCACGAAGAGATTAAAAAAAAGGTGACAGATAAACAGCTTAGTGAATTTTTTTCTAATGCATTTTAAAACCGATCC